AATGCTCAACCACTGGGCCACACTGGCTGGACAGAAGCCTCCTGTTTTTCGTAAGCTGCGAAATTAAGAATTTGATCTGAAAAGAAAAACCAGTGCAGCTCAAGTGCCATTTCATTTTTTTCCCTTTTTTCTTTTTTTTTTTATTGATTTTTTACAGAGAGGAAGGGAGAGGGATAGAGAGCCAGAAACTTCAATGAGAGAGAAACGTCGATCAGCTGCCTCCTGCACACCCCCCACCAGGGATGTGCCCGCAACCAAGGTACATGCCCTTGACCGGACTCGACCCCGGGACCCCTCAGTCCGCAGGCCGACGCTCTATCCACTGAGCCAAACCGGTCAGGGCGAGTGCCATTTGATTTTAGGAGCCTGCGGTGATGATTTAATTCTCTGCTTCCTTTCATCCGCTTTGTCCAAAGCACATAGCGTCCTGTGACGGTCTGCCCGCCTATAAAACGTGTCTGCACCCCACAGCGTGCTGTGTTACCCTGTGCAACGCTGTCGTTCCCGCCCCTGGATCTCACCTCCTCCAGTTCGTTAAACGTTCACTGAATCCATGGCGTCTCATCTGTCCGTCTGGTTTCCTGGTCTGTTGCACGTCACCCTTCCCGTGCAGAAGGAAGGAACCCCTTGCCCTCCTCTGTGCCAGGCACTGTGTCGCACGCCTGCACACACACGTTCCTCTCACTGCCGCCTCGCCGCTGTGTGGGGCGAGAGGGCTCACCCCTGTCTTGGGGATCAGGAACCCGGTAGGTTTGGTAGCATCTTGAGGATGACCCAAAGGCTAGGCCTGAGCCGGAACCGGGCCTTCAGACTCCAAAACCCAGGACACGTCCTCTCATCGCCTTCAGGGGCTCTGTACAGGGGACCACCAGCCATGGAGTGTCTTGAAAGTTGTTTTTCCTTAAAATATGTTTTGCTTTACTCTCTTCGGGCAGAAATAGATCCTTCTTCAATAGTATGTTATATACTTTCCCATCTAAGCTCGTCTGGGGTTTGGTTTGGGGATGACGTAATTTTGGATAAAATTGGTCTGGGCTGCAGGACCAGTGCCTGCGCTTGTTATGAATATGTGAGTGAAGAACCAGTAGGGCCCGGCCAGCGTGGCTCAATGGTTGATCCTCGACCTATGAACCAGGAGATCACGGTTTGATTCCCAGTTGGGCACATGCCCGGGTTGCGGCTCGGTCCCCAGTAGGGGGCGTGCAGGAGGCAGCCCATCAATTATTCTCAGCATTGATGTTTCCATCTCTCCCTCTGCCTTCCTCTCTGAAATCAATAAAAATATATATATTTTTAAAAGAGTTAGTAGACTCTGTGGGCTTGGGGATGACGTACTTTTGGGTAGATTTTGTATGGGCTGCAAGACCAGTGCCGGCGCTCTGTGAACGTGTGAGTGAGGAGTCGGTAGGCTCTGTGAGTGTGAGGGAGCCCCTGTGAATAGAGTGGATGGAAGATTTGGGGTCCAATGTGGGTACTCAGGAGACCCCTCATTCCAATCCTCCGCTGACATCAGAGGTCGGCAAACACTGTCCTCTCAGCCAGTCGGACATGCAGTCCTCATACATTTTGAAGCCCTGCTGGGCCTCTTGTTATCTTTAGCTCCTGTGCAATGATGAGAAAAGACTTGTTTCTCTCTTCAGGGTCATTCTGCTGCTTAATAGGAACCATAGAGCTTGCCCCACCTGGTTGGAGCCCAATGCATAATACTTGAGTGAGGGAAGAAGCAAGTGAGGCCTCACGAAACACACGGACATTACGGTTGAGAGTCCTGTTAAATGATGAAGCAATGTGGTCAGTCAGGTGATGTTTTTCTACAGAACCGTTCCGCTGAGCCCTGGAGGATCGTGTCGGCCCTGAGGTGACACTCCCAAGGCGACCACGGATTAGCAAGGGGGCAGGGTCCTGGGCTCCGAGACTCTGATGACAGCCTGCACGCCCGCAACGAGGGCGGGAGCCTTCCTCCTGCCAAGGGCCACTCGGAGATTTATAACGTCATTCGCGGGCCATACACAATTATCAACTTAGAAAACAGCCTGCTCTGTGTGGTCAGACATTCAGCCACCTCCCCCCTAGCGCCTTGGCAGGGCCGGACCGAAGGATTCCGCGGGCCTTCTATGGGCCGAGGGCCGGACATTCCCAACCCCTGCTACATGCTGGCCAGCTACCAGAAAACAGAATTCATCAGAACACTCTCTCCAGACAGCGCGTGTAACACAGATGCTACTTGAGTGGATGTGTGTGTGTGTGTGTGTGTGTGTGTGCACGCGCGCGCGCATGTACTTAAACCAGGGGGAAATTTGCGGGAAAGTTAGGATGGGTATGAAATCCCTGTGCTTCTCGCTCGAATGACGGGAATTACAACATTAGATTATACAGGTAAGCCTTTTACTATTGCCGTGCTTTTCTGGAAATATCCCTAAGAAACCTGCTTCCTTTCCCAGCGAAAGAGGTAATATAGTCCAGCCTGATAGGGGACCCTGACAGAAGGCAGGGCGTACGTCCTTCACAAATAAAGTTATTAAACTCCCAGCGTGAGCCCCGCGGTGATGCAGGCGGTGCCCCGGGCTGCTGCGAGGCGGGCAGGGAGGCTGGCGTCGTCGGAGGCAGGTTCTCATTAGCTCCTCTGCCCAGGCGCCTGCGGGCACATCCTAGAAGGGCGCGCTGAGGAATCGCTGCTCTGCTGGGAGGTGAGGCGAGGGTTCAGCGATGAGGAGGCCGCAGACTAAGTGTGTGAAACACAAACCACCCAGGAGCCTGCCAGACCCGCCCACCCAGACGTGGGGAAGGAGAACCAGAGAGAAACTTCCAGAAGCTGTTTGCCGGCAGAGCCTTGTAGTCAGATCTGGTGACTCGGGTGAGAGGAAACAGTGAGCGACTTCCTGGCTTTGAACAGCGCCTTTCACTCCCTTTTCAGTGAGTGTCGGAAGAACGGGTGTTCTGATTGGAGGAGTTTTCTCTAAGATTATTTTCTTCTTAAGTAGATTTCAGGGAAAACGTGAGTAGATCTTAGGTATCCATGTGGCTACAGCTGTTCGGCCACCAGATCAAGGTTTAGAGCTGCTGAGCTCTTACCCGTCCCGGTCAGCGCTCCCCACAGGCCACGCTCTGCACCCACAGGGGCCAGCACCTGAGCGTGGCCGTCCCAGATCCACGTTACCGTCCATCATGTCATGGGGATGGGCGTGTGTCCGTACCCTCTCCCGGCACGTCCTCTGCGAGATCCGCGGGTGCTATGGCGCCTCATCACTCCCTTCCTCACTGTGTGGCCTTCGGTGTCTTTTATTCTCAGAAACTCAGTGAAGGGAGGAACGGTGTGAAGGGGAGAGGGAAACACGTGTGTTGCGGGTCACAGGCCATTTGTCTGCAGTTCGCAAACACCACCGTCCCTCCGTGTCCCCGTGGGTGATGCATCCACGTTCTCCATGCTGTGGGCTTCATGTAGTAACACAGAGTCATGCTGTCCAGTGCGACAGCCACCAGCTGCACGAGGCCATGAAATTAAAGTGTAAATTCATTAAAGTTAAAAGCTCAGTTCCTCAGGGGCCCGAGCCACACATCCGATGCCTGGGTGCCATGGCGGGCGGGGTGGGGGACCACCCTGGATGGTACAGATGCAGGAACCTGGCCCTGCCCCCAGGGCTAGTCCCCTCCCAACCCCAGCGGAGGAAACACGGGTTTAATGGCTAAAGTCGGCAGCGTCCATACATTTATGATTTCCGATGTCAATGGTACGTATTCCGAGAAATCTGGAACCCTTCAGCCGATCTGTTATGCTTCTCCCGCCCGCCAGGCCTGGCAGCGTGGGCTGTGCTGAGCAAGGTCACCGTCCAACACAGCATCGGCCCTGCAAATCTGCCCCTTCGCCCGGCCCCGCCGGCAGGACGGAGGGTGTGTCCAATCGGAAGACTATTACAGGCGCTGCGGCCCTGGGCCGGTTATGACCGGGAGGGGTGGGGGGCCACTTTCTAACAGGAAGTCAGGGGGTACATGGCCCCTAAAAGCAGAGGCTGTGGGGTTCCATCTTCAAATATTTTTAAGTCTCCACGGAGAGGATGTAATGCTTCGCTTTCTCCAAGAGCACCATTCCGCCTGGCCGCGTGGCTCAGGAGTGAGTGTCGGCCTGTGAGCCAGGAGGTCAGGGTTCGATTCCAGGTCGGGGCACAGGCCCGGGTTGCGGGCTCCATCCCCAGTGTGGGGCGAGCAGGAGGCAGCCGATCCATGAGGCTCTCTCATCACTGATGTTTCTATCTCTCTCTCCCTTCCTCTCTGAAATCAACAGAAATACATTTAAAATAATAATAATTTAAAAAATAGAAATGGAGGGAAACGCCGTGTGGGACCAGGTGCCGAGAAGTCTGTACTTACTTCCACAGCACGGAGTTGTTTCCCAAGCGTGGCCAGAGCATCCGTGTTCACGTACGTGGTGTGCATCGTGTTAGGTCGGGGTGGGCAAACTTTTTGACTCGAGGGCCACAATGGGTTCTTAAACTGGACCGGAGGGCTGGAACAAAAGCATGGATGGAGTGTTTGTGTGAACTAATATAAATTCAAAGTAAACATCATTACATAAAAGCGTACGGTCTTTTTTTTCAATAGTTTTATTCATTTCAAATGGGCCGGATCCGACCCGCGGGCCGTAGTTTGCCCACGGCTGTGTTAAGTGCCGGTTAGCTCTTCGGTTGGTCTGTGCCCGCACCCCCGTGCCAGCTGCCGCTCGCTAAGTGCAAGGATTGAGGAGTGACATTGGCCGGAGCCCTCTGGAGACTGAAATCGACCCATGATTCGGGCGAGCGTGCGTGAGCTCCTTGGTCCTGAGCCTGGACGCCATCCCTCGTTACGGAGCTCGTTTTCTCGCACCTGTCCTCACAGACGTGAGCGCCTGCGGGTTCTCTGACCCAGTGAGCATCACGGGCCTGGTCCCCGGCGTGTGCCCTATGATGTGCGTCCCCCTCTCGCCCCTGCAGGAAGAACGCGTGTCTAACTTGCTTCTCTCCCCGTAGGACAGTCGGCCCAATATGTCCAGACCCCTGATCACTCGATCTCCCGCATCTCCACTCAACAACCAAGGCATCCCGACGCCCGCCCAGCTCACCAAGTCCAATGCGCCCGTCCACATCGACGTCGGCGGCCACATGTACACCAGCAGCCTGGCCACGCTCACCAAGTACCCCGAGTCCAGGTAACACCCGGGCGTGCGTGCGCAATACTGCTTTCCCTGCGGCCAGCGGAGCCGTGTGGCCTCACGGGCCAGGCGAGGCCTGAAAGCGCGTGGGGCTGCCCTCGGGTGCGCTGCAGCTCCTGCAGGGCGGGGCTGGGCCCGCTGCTCAGCCAGGGCCGGTGGGAAGCTCACGGGGGATGGGGGGCTGTGCTCTTGCGCTCTGCAGAGAGCTCCCTGTTATTTTAGTGCAGGACCAGGAGGACAGTGATTTCCACCCGGACTTGCCTTCTGGCCTTTTCTGCCCGACCGCTGTGGCTCAGTGGTTGAGCATCGACCTATGACCCAGGAGGTCACGGTTCAATTCCCAATCAGGGCACAGGCCTGGGTTGTGGGCTCAATCCCCAGTAGGGGGCGTGCAGGAGGCAGCCAGTCTATGATTCTCTCTCATCACTGATGTTTCTAGCTCTTTCTCCCCCTTCCTTTCTCTCTAAAATCAACCTATATATATCTATACTAAGAAAAGCCTAGTTGGTCCTCCCATCCTCGCATCATGCCCTCACGTCATCACAAGATGGCCTCCCTCACGTTGTCACAAGAGGACCGCCACAAGATGGACAGCAGCGGAGGGCAGTTGTGGGCAACCAGGCCTGCAGGGGAGGGCAGGGAGGGGCAACCGTGCCTGCAGGGGAGGGCAGTTGGGGGCCATCAGGCCAGCAGGGGAGAGGTTAGGAGGCAATCAGGCTGGCAGGCAGAAGTGGTTAGGGACGATCAGGCAGGCAGGAGGCAGGGGAGCGCTGAGGGAGCGAGGGAAGGAGGAGGCGGGGAACCTGATCACCAGCCAGGCCTAGGGCCTCTAGTAAAACATATTTTAAAAAACCCCAAAAGAGACAGCCTTGCAGTCGCCACCCACAACCACGCAAGGCAGGTATGTGCTTGGAGCGTGAGGATGGCTCCTGCTCACGCCCTGACGGGCAGCGCCAGCACTGGAAGGAGTGGATGAGTGGACGAGGGCAGTAGCAAGGGGCTGTGCAAACGCTTTCAGGGCCACGGAGTTCCATCGTCGGGATGTCCCTGTCGCTGCCAGCCCACGGCGCTTCCTACCGGCCGAGTGCGGGGCTCCGGGCTGAGCCTTCATGCCCGAGTTCCCGTTTCACACCCGCATCCCCGACGCGGGTCCAGCAGCATCAGACCACATGTCAGCACCTCAGCAAGAGGCCGAACCACAAGTGCATCCTGCTGGCCACACAGTTCCCGGAGCTTTTGTTCAGAACCATCACGTGGCGCCCAGGAGAAAGCCTGGAATGGTCCCCTGGCCTTAGCTCGCAGGGATCATGGCTCAGGGTGCAGGCCCCGTTACCCATCGCAGGGGGCTGTGGCTCCTGGGAGGGGATCTCAGGCTCAGCGCAGACGGAGGGAGCGTGTCCGCGGCCGGGGAAGAGCACCCAGTAGGCCCGGTCAGGCGAAGGCGGGCAGTTGGGTTGGTAAGACTGGTTGATCTTTAAAAGGAGAAAATGAGTTTCCGGAGGGATTGACCAGGAGGACAAGGGCCCAGCAGATGAGAGAGGAGGTTTCTCCGAGGCAGGAGGGGAGGTGCCCCTTCCCCGTCTCCTTCCTGTCTCCTTCCCATCGCGCAATATTGCTTTTCCCAGCTGCCCCTGTGCCACAGGCGAAGGGCCAAAGCAACTGGCCTCAGGAGACTTTTTCTTTCAAATGATGAAACGAACTTTGTGCTTAGAGCTGAAAGCCGTCTGCAGGCCACTTCCTGTGAGCCACCGGCGGACTCACGAAGCTTCCTGGTCACTTGGAGCAAAACAGGCCTGACCTTGAGGGGAATCGAACGCATCGAGTCTGTCTTCGGGATGTGTTTCCCTGCCCGGGACCGTTGGATGTTTATAACATCGTCCCTAGGCCATACAGAAGTACCTTTCTTAACCATCAGCCTGCTCGATTTTGTCACACTGTCATTAGCCCCCCTAGTGCCCTGGCAGGGCCAGACCACATGATTTCGAGGGCCTTATACGGCCCCCTCAACCCCCGCCAGCCCCTGATGGGCAGTGAGATAAATAGCTCTGGCTGTTGTCTGCCCATGGATTTCAGGAAGTTCTTCATTTCAGTCTCATTGTCCAGTCCAGGAAGTCTGCCCACAGCAAGGGGCAGGGTGGCCTCGGACCGGTGACCTTGCCGCGTGCTGATGGCTGCTTGGTCAAGAGGAAGCGAGGAGCAAACCCCCCGGGACCAGCTCCGGCCCCAGCGGCTCTGCCCAGGGAGGAGCAGTACGAGGGGCAGCACCCGGGAGTGGGGGCTGCTCCCCACATTGGGGGTGTCTGGGCGCATTGATGCATTCGTCACCTCCCTTCCTATCGCTAATGGAACGGGAGACCCAAGAGAGCCCCCCAATGCAGCGAGCTGAGGGTTCACAGCTGGGCACGGACACGCATGCATGCACCGATTAGAAGAAAACTGCAATGAAAATCATTTCCAAAACATGCCTCTCCCCAGGCCCTAGCTTTTTGAATGCTGTCAGACCTGCCACAGCCTTCCGTGCCCACGCACGGTGCCTGGCACATGGCGGACGCTGGCTGGGTGCCCCCTTCACTTCCTTACGGCCATGAGGACCGACGGGAACACATGTGGATGAATTTCCAGAAGGGGCTGCGTGTGGGCGCGTGGAG